CACATATATATGTATATATATATATATATATATATATATATATATATATATATATATATAGATAGATAGATAGATATATATATATATATATATATATATATATATATATATATATATATGCAACATCTTTTCTCTATAACTGGAAAAGGAGCCAGACGCTAAAGCGAGATCAATTCTGCTCGAAGTTTATAGTCGATAAACTGAAAAAGCACGCGTTGAACGACCGCATGAGATAAATCGCTGGCCCTCTTCATCTTTTAATTGTGTAATGCGTTCTTTTTAAACCGATAGAACCAGGTAACTCCGTTATAACTTTTATCTGGGCTGTACAGGGATGTCAAGGACCCCGTGGGTGCATATTAAAGATCAAAATCCGTTGGCAAATTGTATTAGCATCATCAGGCCATGTAAGGATATGTTCAACATTCAGTTAGACCTAAAGCCATATTAGGATATGTTCAACATTCAGGCAGAAGTGATACAAATTATGTAGCGTAGTTTTGGGCATGCGCGCTCGCATACCTTGGCCACAAAAACTTCGACGCCAGGTGTTGCAGTCTCCATAGGCAGCGCGGCGGCCTCGCGGTTAACATTAGGTTGTGGCCAACAGGTGGACCAAACTGATGGCGCGTTTGAAAGAAGTAAGATTGAACGCTTAGGACATAAAACCGTATGATTAGAATGTATTATCGGTGGATATTTTACCCGTGCAATTTTTAGATTGATGTTCTAACGGATTTGGCTTTACAGCACCACGAAGTGGTGCTAGAAGCTGGTGGTTGAACTGGAAAAGTAAATGCAAAATCTCCATTTTTCGTGCTGCTGTAGTTGATAATCTGTTCAGAGGACATCACCAAAGGTTTTGAAAAAAAGTCATTTTCCCAGTGCTGTCTTAAATGATGCGAACAAATTTTAAAAGACGTTCAGAAAGATTATTTTACGATGGTCGTTCTCGCGCGCACGGCACCCGCCGCCTGGTGTTAGTTGCAGTGGCCAATGGTGTTTGGTTTTACGGAAACTGCAACCCAGATCATCACTGTCCTTGCTTCCGAGTCTGCGGGTGCACAGGGTCAAGCCTGTTGATGCAATTCGTTTCACTAGTCAGTTTTGCAAAAAAAAATGGACGTACTTAGGCAAGCATGGGATGGGTTTGGGCGTTTTTGAACTCATTTCAAGGCCCTATTCCACAATAATGGGACCCTTCTTTCTTTCCGGGAAAGGGTTCTCTTGAAAAGAACATTACGGGGCACACTATTGTTCCCGGTAAAGGGCCGAAGGGCCATTTTGTCCCACCGCGAGATGTCTTCCGGCTGTCACTCTGGTGTCACAGGGCGGGACTCTCTGGTCGACCCGAAGGCAATTAGAGGGATATATCATATCACACCGGGCCGCTCCATGACGCGAGAGGCCTTCTGACCCGCGCAGTTAACCCAGGAGCGACGCAAGAAATCTCAATGACGCAACAACATCCGTGATCGCCGCAGGTGGTCAATTAATTGGCACATAGACTCCAGTTCGGCTTAACGGGCCGCTGCTGGCATTGGTTTGGAGGGCCCACCGTTCGGTATTGGAGGCCCTCACTGGCACAGGACCCTTCTATTGCCTCAACCGGAGCACATCATCATAAGTCCCCATGCTTGCTTTCATTGTCAGAGGGCCCCGACCAACGCAAGAGACCCTCTGTCATTCGGGGTCCCGTCTCTGTCCCTGTTGAGAAAATATTTCCCTGACCGACGCAAGGCTCCTTGTTGGCATAGAATACCCTGTTAGGCACTGTGGGCTTCTGAACGATACAGGAGCCCCAAACAATGCAAATCGCGTGTCTGGCCTTGTTCCTACCTGAGAAATGGGCCCCAGAGCTCAGACCGACAAGGAGTCGATTGGTCGTTGTTAATGATTTCTGACCAAACTAGAGGAGCGCTATGTCTCAGGGGTCCCAATGGATACAAGAGATTTTCTAACGTGACATTTGAGATCACGGCCCTCGGAGTTCACATATGAGCGGGGCTCCTAATGTGACCTACAGCCAGCCCTTCGCACCCTTCAGTGTTCCAATCGAGCCCTTGATCTTTGGCCTCCAGAGACCTTTCGGCCCCTCTTCGGCCCCCCTCAAACACCGCTCCAACTCGGGGCCACTTGCCGCCACAGGACCCCTGTTAGGTGCTGTGGCCCTGACCGACACAGCAACCGCCCGAACATTGTAAATCGGGGGTCCCGGCCTCGTTTCCGATTGGGAAATAGGTCTCAAGAGTTCGGATGGACATAGGGCCGATTGTTCGGTGTACGTAGTCTCTTGCTGAGTTAGACACCAACATTGTATCAGGGGTTCCTCAAACGGTGCCAGGGGACCTGTGACTGATATTTCGGGTCACGACCCCACGGACTATTTTTCATGTGACTTACAATCGGGCCCTGACGACCATTCGGGTTCTTACGCCCTCCAACCGGGCATTTGCTCGTCGGTTCTGGTGGGCCGCTCGGTCACCTCTCCGGGCCTCTCCAACATTTCCTTTGGTCGGTTTCGGACCTCTTGCAAGCCCAGGAACCTCTGTTAGGCGCTGTGGGCCCGTGACAGACAGAAGGCCTCTGACCGGTTTAAATCACCTGTCCCGGCTTTATAGCTGATTGGGAAGTGGACCTTCAGGCCCATACCAATACGGAACCCATTGTACGGTACTGGCGATGTCTGACCGACATATAGGCCCAAATCGACTCAGGGTGTCCCCGATCGGCCCATAAGGCCCTCTGACTGCGATTTGAGGGCCCGTCCCCTTAGGCCGGGGCCCCTGAATAAGACTCTGATCAGCCTTTTGTTCCCTTAGACCCTCCAATTGGGCCCCTGTTAGTCACTGTGGGGCGCTGACAGACACTGAGGACCCGACCGAAATCGCAGGCTCGGGCTTAGTCCCTGCTTGGGAAACGCGCCCGCAGGCCCATGCCGCCACAGAGGCGACTGTGCGTTACTAGCAGTGTCTAACCGATATATAAGCCCTCACCGACTCAGGGGGTCGCTGATCAGCGTGCAGGGCCCCCTTCCCTGGATGACATTGAAGTGCCCGGCCCTGCGAGCCAGGGCCACTGAATGCGACCTTTTGGGCCCTTAATCGTAGGTACCGAAAGACCCTACGGGCCCCTCGGAATTAAGAGGATGGGTAGTTGCCCCCTGTGCCACCCTGCCTGCGCCACTGCTCTCGAGGGGCCTTTCGGCCCATCTTCTGGCCCCTCAAACACCGCATCAACTAGGGGTCATTTGCCGCCACAGGACCCTTGTTATGTGCTGTGGCCCCTGAATGGCACTCCAAATCGCGGACCCCGGTCTCGCTCCTGCTTGCCAAATGGCTCTCAATGGCTCAGACGGACATGAAGCCGACTGTTCGGTGTTTGTGGGCTCTAATCGACTCCAACGCCCGCATTGTCTCAGAGCAGGCTTCAGATCAGGAATGTATGACGGAAGAGTTTTTGTAGGAATGTATGATGGAAGAGAGTATGACGAAAGACAGAGTTTTTTTAAGGAAAAACCACGGTTTTATGCTCTTTGTGACACTGTTTTTGGCAATCGCCCTTTCAAGCTTTTGAATTTCTTTTCGCCTAAAATGCTGCGACAAATATTATCCCCAGCTAAGCAGCCGACGAAATCTAGGCGCGTGAAAACTCAGACGGACTATGGGTCATCGATTCGCATTACAAACTCTGACCAGCTTCTGTCAGGGTCGTATTTTGGCATATGCCCTGTGGAGGTAGATGCCTCATCAATGACCCAAAATGTCCACCCGCTCGTGGGATTTCGCATCCCCAGGGAAAACAATGTTCGAAGGACGAATAATTGTGAGCAGCTGGAAAGCCTGCTTTACCGAATGACATAGATGAGTCGAATAGGTAAGCAAGGGCGGATCTAACCTGGGTTTTGCCGGGGGGGGGGGGGCAACCGTTCATCGCCAGCTGGCTGGTGTGGTTTCCGAGGTCCAGTGCATGGTGCCTCTCGCAAGTACCTAGAAGGGGCACCATTCAAGCACTGAAATGCTTTTGAATCTTCTATGTACAGTATGCATGTTTGCAAAGCTCGTAACCCTCATTTTGAGGTATTATTTTGCTATTATGTAGGCTATTGTTTTGCGGTACATCTTTTGAGGTAGGTAGACGAAACTTTTCTGAAGCTCCGGGAATGTTTTTTTGGAGGGGCCAAAACATACTCTCAAAGTTTTTTGGGCCCCCATGGCCCTGTGCCCCCCCCCCCCCCTAGGATCCGCCTATGTGGGTAAGATTGTGCACCAGTGTGAAACATCTGTAATACCGGCATATAATGTAATGTAAAGACATTTAATTATATCCAAAATATGTGATGAGAGTTAAGAGCGGACATTGTATAAGAGCGGTCTCCGTCTCTAACCCCCTCCTTCCTGGTCGCCGGGCATGCTTCCCAGAAAAAGTTCCTGAAGTATACCCTGCTCCCAGCCACCCATTTCCTGAAACGTTCTTACGCCTGTAGGTTCTGAGCTATAAGTTGTCTGCAAGGAAGAATCTTGACTTTGTGAAATTTGACGTACTTTTGGTCTGACCCACGGCCACCATTCGATGCATCTTGGTTGGTGACCCATCCTTTCCTTGAAAGTCGTCTTAAGTCTGGTTAAAGGTCACCAAAAATATAAAAAAGCAACATAAAAACAGGGCTGCAGACAGCAAGTGCCCCACCCACTGGACGCTAGGCCACGACAGTCAAGTAAAGGATGTGCTGCCAAGCACGCCAGGACTTCGCGCAAACGCGCACGCGCAAAGGCATATTCGCGCAACAAAGAATTGGCGCCGGTTGGCGTCGGTCCCCCCCGAAGGTCGCTTATACCAGCTTATACGGCCTTGGGTGGTTCCCGTCGTAGGGATTCCACGCGGTTGTGATTGTTGGACAAATACAGGTAAATACAGGGGCAGTGGAAGCGCTCAAGCCGGGCGGGCTATAGCCTCATACATTTGCGGCCAACGCTCATAGAGCCATTGTTGAGTGTTCTGAAACTTGGGGCGGGTGCTCAGCCATGGGCAACTGGCGTCTTCCCATGTTGGGGAAGCTGGGGTCCATTCTGTTTTTTCCAGTCAACAGCTTTATGGATCAAGCTAAATTTGCAAGAAGTTAACGAGTGAAGTTCAGCTTTCTGGCAGCCCTTCATTCCCTTCATCCCCGGCCTACCAGTTCCTGTACGTGTGAATAAATTAATGTTATAGTAGTGCTCATGAGAGTTTTGCACATCCACATCAGTCATATTGTAGAACATGTTCTTATGTTTTTGGCCTTCAATTTTTAACCCACAGTCATTGTGTTTAGGGACTCAAAACCTCACTATCTCTACTAAAATATTTGAAATCCTGCATGTATCTTGAAAGGAGAAACTAGATCTGACAAGTTGTCAGATGATTTCAAGAAGTTACCCCTGCTTTGCTTTGCATGTTATTAAACCTTAAGATAAACATTTATAGGCTTCTATGTATTTTGTAAGCACATTGAGGTCTGAGTGCCAAATAGCATCTTCCACAGACATAGATGCCATTCTATGCCCCCACTTCTTTCAGTCTCAAGAACTGTTGCAGATTGGATATGCCAGTAATTGCTGGGTTTATTGACGAGCGAGTGAAGGAAGGGTACATTGGCCTGCGGTTTCTCATGTATTTTACTAATCAGATATTGATTGTGATTTGTGAGGCAGGGTTTCTGAGCAAACCAAAAAAGGTTGAGTACACCGCAGCCTCACAACAATAGCCAGGTGCAGGGTTTAGCTGTGTATATATTAAGTGCCACCCAACTGCCACTGAATGAAATCCAGCTATGGGTGGGAAAATTTGGGTCATTAGTCTTGATTTTTTGGGTAAAGCTTTGCACATTTGCAACTTGGTTTATTGGTGTGAGACATGTGCTATGGGTTCTCTGTCACTGATGCTCTTGCTGGAGAAATAGAAATATTTTTGTTTTGTGATCATTTGTGTTTGTTGGCACACTCTGATTTTGGGATAATCTCAAAGCTTAAAGAATAGCAAAAATGAACTCTTCTGCCTGCAGAATGTTTTACTGTACAAGCACTGCTGACACAATACATGCCTGATACTCTGTATGGTTGTTATTTCACATTTTAACTTGGACATGGAATTTGCTAGCAAACAAAGCTTTTTAAGGAAGGAAAAGATCAAAGCCATGGCTATCATTAGCATTTGTGATCTTTTGTGCCATTTTCTCAGATTTGCTTGTATTTATCATGCATCTATGACAGTAGTCAGACCTCACAGATGCTGATGGGTTTGTTATGTACATTTATATCTGTACTCCATATATTTCCAAAGTTCTTCCTAAATACCATGCTCTGTCTCCATTCCTGTACTGTCCTTTATTGGCCTTTTCTATCTTTTCCTAGGTTTGCTACCAACAGTCTGTACCTGCTTGATATGCAGGACAAGTCACAGCAGATTAGAGGATAAGTGCTGATTACTTGGATGTGTGAGCCAGTCAAGAAATATAACGTCAATGATATTGACAAATATGTTGACTTACGCAGTACATTTTTGACACCAACTCATTTACAACACAAAAATTTGTGATAAGGTAGGGAATTGCCTCTGCCAGATACCAATACCACTGATTACCCAACACTGCACTGACATAGACCTGGTTATGCACCAAATGGTTGCAAGCTGTGGGATGTGACCAGTTTCTCTTTAAGCTATACTAAATTTCCTGGACAGTACCTATGTATGTAGGAATGCTTGCTTCTATCCCCCTTCCATCCACAATACACATACATATTTTTGTTTCATGATTGATTGATTACTGTTTGCCACATGTTTTGTCTCAGCCACTCTGCTCAGGATGCAAAACACAGTAGCATGTTAAAACCACATCAGCAAAAGTGAACACTTGTGTTCAGCTGATTATGATTTCTTCAGCACTGTTTTATTCAAGTTTGCATTAACAGTGTGCATTGGCAGTTGCACATGAATTTCTCAATCACTTGATCATTACACATAACTTTATGTTTATTGGTTGTATGAGTCTTCTAGTAGTGCATGATTTGTGAGCTGAAAGTGTAAAACTCTTCAAAACAGCTTGTAGTCATTTTTATCTTGGCAATATATGAGTATTCCCATGGAGTCTTCATAATTTTTTACTGCTTTTTTACTGCTGACGTTGGTTTATCTTACATGCCTGTTTTAATGATCTCAGTATTAAGTGAGCCATGTCTGTGTTTCAGTCAAACACAAATGCATTACACATTAGCACTTGTGTAACCAACTGGCCCGAGCATGTCAACACAGATCCAGGAGCACTCCGTGGACTGCTCCAACGCCGCGCGCGGCGTTTGGCTGGTGAAGGTGCCCAAGTACATCTCGGAGCGGTGGCAGGCGGCACCCGGAAATATCGAGGTTGGTCGGCTCAAAATTGTTAAGGCGTCTGGCCAAAAGCCGAGCGTGTCCTTTTCGCTGAGCGAGGCTGTCATGGCCATGGAGCGTGAGCCAATCCCAAAGGAACACCGCTTCGCCATCAGCAACGTGGGTGGGCAGACGCTGGGTGTGTTCTCGCTGACGACACCCAGCGACAGCGACGCCGTGGTGCCCGAGCAGGAGACGCTGGCAATCGAGGGCAAGGTCATCCAGCGCGCTGAGTGCCGTCCGCTCGGTGACGCCAACTACATGCGGTTGAAGCGCAACAAGATACTGCGCACCTCGAACCCGGGCCGTCGGCTTAAGACCATCACGGACGTGGTGCACATCAAGCCGGTGTCTGACCACCGGCACAACATCGAGTACGACAAGCGGAAGAAGGAGCAGGGGAAAAAGATGCGCGATGATAAGGACAAGGTCCTCAGCATGCTGTTTGCCGCCTTCGAGAGGCACCAGTTCTACAACATCAAGGACCTGGTGCGCGTCACCCTGCAGCCAGTCACATACCTGAAGGAGATTCTCAACGAGGTCTGCAACTACAACATGAAGAACCCGCATCGCAACATGTATGAGCTGAAGCCTGAGTACCGCCACTACTCGGATGAGAAGGGCAATGAAGAAGACGACTAGAATGGAAGAACCTCCTTAAAGGAGGTGGACTTGACAAAGGACAGAAAATTGTCCTTTTTGTGTTTCTGCTAACAGGCTGCTGGCAATCAACCTTCTTACGTTGGCTTGAAGCGTGGTTAAGTCGTTCTCTTGTGCTCATATTGCTTTAACGCATCTAATGCTCATCACATCTCATTCACGCAGTGCGTGTTCTTTAGTGTCGCCATTGGCGAAGATGGTAAAGGTTGACCTACCCACCATGAAGTTTAGTACAAATTTACCCAGCGTGTCGTAGTCTTGTGTTAGAGCGTTTTTGTCGTCACCTTTGTTGTCTGTGTGGATGGACACCCCAGTACATGCCCCATCTTCACCTCACGGATCGGCGCGTGCGTCACATTTTACTACGTTATGAACTTGTTGCTCGTACACCTGCTGATCTCTTCGGATGTACAAATACACTAACAGTGGCGTTTTGTTGACGTTTTGGTTGAGGGCTGAATGAACACCTGTGCGGGGTCATGTCCAGCCACACGAATTCCCCAATCAGTTGGTTGGCGCGATCGGGGTTTTCCGTCCTCCCTGGTGTATCTGGTCATGAAGGGATTGTGAGGCAACTTAAACTGCCAACATATCGGCATTTTGAAAACTGTCACACAATTATGAACTTGCCACTGCATCAAGCCGTCCACCCACACCCGCCTCATTTTGCAAACTTCTTCAACCGACCGAATGAGAGGTGCGTGGTTCGATTCCCCGCGGTGCCCGTCGTTCCCGCCAGGATGAGGGGCGAGCGACGTCATGTTCACTCAGCAGTTAAGTACGTTGTAAGGATCGAATGGCGGACGACAACGGCGGGCATCCTGAAGATCGTTGGTACTACCAACGTGGATTGGATACCAACGACGAGTGGATTTGCTGCCGCAGTCTTATTGAGGTTGACGAGGCTTTGTGGTGAGTAACCGGTGTGATGGCAAATTCCCGGGGGCCACTCGAGCTTCAGGCCAAGATGAGGTCAGTCTCAGCATTGGCATCAGACCTGAAATATATATGTCATGTGCAGAGGTACCTACACCTCGTAAAGTATGCGCCATTGTGGCTGGTCGGCTTTACTCTGGTTTTGGTGGTTCTTTGTAGGCGATCGTCTGAGCGAAGTCATTCGTGTGTGATCTTTTGTTTCGGCTGGCGCAAAGAAAGGCACAAGTAGACAGTTTCAGGACTGTTGTGTGAGTGCGCACTAGTCTGTAGGAAAATGCGCGTAGGGCATAAATTTTGCATGGCAGAAGTACGTCTGCAAAAGTGCGTAAGCAAATGTTTGTGTGTTATAAGTACAACTGTAAGTCATTCGCATTGACAAATTGGTCACGGCAAAAGTTCGTTTGCATCAAGTACGTCCGCAGCTGTTCGTGAGCCAAATAAACCACGTAAGCAAAGCTTCGTACTGGATGAATCTCGTTTCATTTAAGGGAATGCTTCGCATTTGAAGATATGGAAGGAAGCATTAGACACGATGAAATAAGCTCAGAACTATTGGCATACTTTGAAGTGTAAAAGACTGCTCCAGACAAAACAATTTTTTATGTTTAGTAAACATGCTCCTCCATACGTCATTGACTACGTCATCGTACCTTGCACAACAGTAATTGAGAACCAAATGGCGGCATTGATGTCTGGGAATCGTGCTCACGAACACCAGCTGTGAACGACTCGACGATTGCATTTTGATGGGCCTTGACCGACGCATTGCTAGTGGAATGGCAAGTTTGAATGACGTTATTATGGCGTCGAAGATGCCTGGGTGATCTTGAAATGGTCTCCCCGAAATGGTCTGCACACATTTGGGGTCGCGTAGCTCAGAAGCTAGTGGAGTTTACGTCTTAACAAGGACGGGGCTATGGGCTGTACCGAATGATCTTCAAGATAGCTATTCCAGTTCGAAACCTCATGAAATGTGAACCACTCCCTTTTAAGTATGCGCGCAACATTTTGTAAGCATGGACCATAAAGAAACAGGTTTTATGGATAATACTTCTGTGAGGAATGTTCCCCGACCGATCGACCATCCGAATACAAATTACATCGGTGCTCAGATTTCGCTCGTAGTGTTTCTCCGTGGGACGATGTGGGATGATGTCGGATGATGGATCCCGCCGTGCAATTTCTAACTCCATCCGTCGTAAAATTTAAACTCACTCTGATTTGCTAGTTAAATAACGGGAATCGATGGGGAGCGATTTGATCCCCTCCCTTTTCAAAAGTAAGCAAGATGGAGGCTCGTGGAAATAGCCAGTGGATTGGTCACGAGATGTGGTGATAATGTGGAGTATGATGATATGATGTAATGTGGAGTACAAACTCTTCTGTTGCTAGGCCAATAATTACCCGAATAAGCCAGGCCAATGCCAAATTGCCATGAAAGCCGAACTTTTCAGCTTACATCAGACCATGCCTAGGGGTCGTAAAACGTGCCGACTTGGTGCATGAGGTCGGCGGCAACAATGTCTACTTTCATGCAACGCTTGGTGCTTAAAAAAGCTTTTGACCAAAAGTTTTGGTAAAGGCGACAAACTATGACAGCGCACATTGCTCAACCTAATGTGAGGCTTTATCGGTCATACCGTGAAGACCCCTTACCGTGCCTTACGTGCACCATGGTATCTTTCTTAAGCTTCGTGCCAACTGGTGACAAGAGTATCTCACGATTTTTAGTTGGTCGCTCGATTCAATACGATAAATGAGTGTATTCCTATGGCCCGGCCGGCGTATTTATTCCAGCAGGTGTAAATAACACTCATAGTCAAAATGTGCTGTAAATGTACCAGAACAGAAAAATGTTCTTACCTGTGCG